TTTAGGAATTTGGATACTGTTATCAGAGTACAAAGATGGGGCTGAAATAAAGAAGATAAATTCGAAAGGGATAAAGGTTTAAAATTCCATTTAAGTAAAAAAAATTCAGTTGTGTATAGGTTGGGCAAGGCTTGAATTTGACAGCAATTAACATGAGAAGTGCCTGGTAAAGTTTGTTGACAATGACTGACTGATGTGATGTGTGAATGCAGTCTTCTGATACTTTAATAGAAATACGATGTCCTGATCCCAGGGAGGCCGCCAGTCTTTCTGCGTTCTTCCCTGAGTAGTAGGCCCCCTTCAGAGTGCTGTATGCAGATGCAGCAAATATAAGGAAAAAATACAGCCAAACCAGTGGTCCCGTTTCTGTTTGAGCAATGCAGATGGTGTCTCATGGATCTGCAGAGACAGTTCATTACTAAAGTGCCTGTGAAATGCAAGGTGACATAGCTAGTGTACAGCGAGTTTGAATTTCATAGAGTAGACCATGCAATAAAATCCTTGGTAGATTTGTAGAAAGTAAGCAGGAACTTGGTATTTTTATCATAAAGTCACATAAAAATTAATACCTGGATTATAATCAAAACAAATTTCAAGAGACCAAAATGAAACAAATTTCAAGAGACCATCCCCACTGTCTAAACCATTGCTACTCCAGATGTGATCTGTGGGCCAGCAGCATCAACACCACCTGGGAGCTTGGAGAGATGCAGACTCTCAGGCCCCATCCTGGGCCAACTGAGTGAAAACCAGCACTTTGCCAAGATCCCCAGGTGATCTGTATGACCATTAGAACTCTAGAGCATGCAAAACTTTTAGTTGTGTTCAGTGAAATCTTTAAAAAGCTGTAAAAATCTCTTTTTTTATATCCTCTTAAAGTGTGATGCATTACTTTGGTTAGAATGAAAATGAAGGATGAGGCAATCATGCTGGCTTATATGACTACTGCATTGTCCTTCTAGCCAATTCTATCTTTCTTACATTCGAATATTTTTCTTTTTAGCACAAATTGAAATGACTGAGTATTGGTGAGAATTCCTAGGATGATTAAACAGCACAATCTTTTAAGATACAGAAAAAATAAGACCTCTGGGATCCCACAGTGTATCCTAGATTTATAAAAGGGTCCACTGGACTCACATTAATTGCAAAAAATATAAGTTTAATTCTACTTTTAAAATAGACAAATTTTTCTTTGTTTTTTGGAAGAAAGAATCTCCTGGAAAATAAAAAAAAAACCCTCAAGGAATAAAATTCGGTCCAGTAGAACTTGATGACATACCAAGTGTTAAAAGAGGGTTAAGGATCTTTCAAAATATACTGGAAACCAGATTGTGCACATTAAAATACAGCGAGGAATGCAAAGTGATATGAAATTAGTATCAAATGAGTTCTGTGAAGGTTTAGAACAATGAGAGTTTCATCAGGCCATTCACTAAGCATTAAGTTCCCATTAGGTGGCAGGCGTGGTTCTTGGAATTGGGATAATGTGGCCTACTGGGTCTTGTGTTTTGATGGAGGACCCAGACAGTAAGCAAGTTAACCAGCCAGTGAATATCTGCATAATGGTAAGTGTGATGACAAAATACATGGAGCAGGTGAAGGGATGGAGACGGACCAGGACGCCCCAAAGCAATTAGGTGAGATTAGTAATTAGGCCCCCGGGAGACGCATCAGGGGAACAAGAAAGGAGCTGCCGTTTGACCAGACACCCAGGAGGAGATGAGAAGGAGCCGTGGGGAAGGGGCACACAAACCAACTGCGGTAGCACTTGCTGTGCTGGAGAAGACCTTTCCTTCTCCTTAACTGAGTGGAACCGCCCACAGACTCAGGCTCACCCAGGACCATCAGCCTCTGGTTTCTTGGTCGCTCAGTGTGAGGAGATGGACCCCCGCACAAGGAACAGTGCTCGCCGTGCAAAGAGCCCTGCCTCTGCTGCCCCAGCCCCGAAGCCTTTCCCCCTGACAGTGTGAAACCCTCATCAGCCATTACCGGACTTCCTTCAAGTTTCACAAGGCAGATCCACTCTGGAGCTTAGTCTGCTTCCACGTCTGTAAACTGGGAAAAATACCCAACTTGCATGGCTCTTGTGAAAGTTATAGCTAATATCCATCAAATGCCTGGCACATGTTGAGTGTTTGAAAAACAGGAGCTAATTATTATTGCTCACCATTGT